AATGGACCATGTCGGGTCGGGTCAAGTCTTACCAATTATAGTTATGGACTTAGACATTAATCCAACAAATGCATGGGTGGTTGATCATCATCTACAATGTTGTTATCCTCACCCTCATCAACACATAACTTACTCAGGAAAGGATCATTTGATGTCCTATTCATAATAACTACATCGTCATTAAATTCCACATTCCCATTCCTAAGTTCATATATATTATCCTCATTTTCACCATCAATACAAGACTCATGATCATCATCACCCTCCTCGTCATCAAACCACTCATCTACTCCCACTCCAACATGATCGATATAAACAGAAATTACACCATCTGTTCCATAAGCATCAAATATAAAAGTAGTGAATTCCACATCATCTGAAATGAGATTAAGCCTATCCATCAGGGAAAGGCCTGGTTCACAGTAGTACATCTTTTTAACCTCCTCATGCATGAAACATTCGAAGAAGGTAACACACTCAGAAAATGTCATTGAAGAAAAATCAACATCATTAAACATGGTTTTGACACCACCAATGTAAGAGAAAGGAATTCAAGTAAATACCCCCTGATAGTTGAGTTCCACCATCGCAAACATTCCATTAGGGTCCGGTTGTGTCATTCCACCGAATGCTTTGATTCTTTAGCTCAACCACAAATATCATTGAAAAACCTTAGCTCAGTTTCGTGATTTGGTGATAAATGAAGAACACAGGTCGACGGGTGAAGCAAGTGAGTTTAAGTATTAAGTCTTATATCATTAATTGACGTGGCAAATCCTACGTGTAATCTGCTTACTACATAAACTAACTATTAAATGTAAGTTATTTACACCTAGACAAAGTCAACCGGGAAATCGTTTAAAATCGGGGAAAATCACTTAAATGACAGGTAAAACCCGACTTTAGTGACTTAATTGACAAAAAAAAAAACTTTAGTGACCAAATTGGCCAAATGGCAAAAGTTTGATGTGCTACAGTGTCATTTTCCCATTTTCAATCTATGGAATTTAGCATCTATAATTTTTCCGTTTTGCTTTTAAGAATGGTGTATTTCAATATTTCATGTTCATAATTTAGCATCTATGATATATCCACAATGCTCTTTGTTCATGATTTGTGTAAGGAAGATTCTTCGGTGGTTAGATTAAGTTTCAGAGGGCAAAATCAAAAAATAATTGTCGACAGAAGATGACGATGATTCATTTTTTAGGAGACAAAAGAAGATGAACGGGGGAATAAATAATCCCTTTTTTTCTTAGGGGATGGAGGTGGAGTGATAGCTTATTTTATTATTTGTTTTAATTGTTAACCGACAAAAATGAATGATAAAAAATAAATAAAATGGGTAAAAAAATCATTTCATGTGGTTTAAGGACCAATCATAGAAGTTTAGAAACCATATGGACCATGTCCAACAAAGAAAAATTAGTAGGAGATGAAATTATGATATTTGATAAACCATATGTAATTATGTCTTTAATAAAAAAAGAATGGAAGAAGTTAGGTAACGTGTTAAAAATATGTAATTAACATAAAAATT